TGCATGTCTTTCATTCTTTTAATAAGTCAGATTCAAATCAAGTTTATTGTCATTTTGCTGTACATACACAGTAGTACAGGCAAGATGAGAGAGTGTTTCTTCAGGATTTTTCAACCAGCAAGTTTTGTGGTTCAATTCAATATCTCTAACCTCTTTTGTTGTTGAATTCTGCAGATAGCCGTGCCCCGACACTCTGTGGGAGTTGTGATTGGTCGCAATGGGGAGATGATCAAGAAGATCCAGAGTGATGCTGGCGTGAAAATACAGTTTAAACCAGGTGAACTCTTCAGACATTTTTGTAAAACTAAAACCACATATTTCATTACATGTCACAAATACAATAAAATACCATAGAGTGGGTTTGTGGCCAGACAAAGACTTACTAAATCAAAGGATGCTTTTTGTCCAAAATGAAGCAATTTTCACAATTTCATTGTGAGGAAACGCAGCAGCTGCTCTTATTGTGGCTAGGCACAAAGATGTATTGTTCCACATAATTGAGACATTAGTGAAGGTTTTCTAAAATGAATAATTTGTACTGTTCTGATAAAAATTCTTAAAGCCCTCATCAATAAACTAAACTGTCCTTTTGTCACACCTTACAGATGATGGAACAGGTCCTGATAAGATTGCTCACATTATGGGTCCACCAGACCAGTGTCAGCATGCTGCTTCAATCATCACTGACCTCCTGCAGAGCATCCGAGCCCGAGAAGAGGGTGGGCAGGTAAGTCCCGAGTAGGACTGAATGATTTGGGAAAAATCTCTAATTGAGATTTTTCTGATGGATGTTGTCATTGCAATTTGATTTGCAGTGTAATTTTTAAAGTCAAGTATTGGTTATATGGTCACTGTGTACTGGATTTAGTACGATACCATGAAAATATTACCTGCTATATATGCTAAAGCAAAGATGAGAACTTAGATATGAATCGCTTATGTGTCGATTGCAATTTTTAAACTGGCTTTACTGAACATTAAACATTTATCAGAAAAGCTCAAGCTGTTTTAAGTTAAATGAAGTAATAATAAGAAAAATAAAAGTATGGCAATAAGAAAAAAGGATATTTCTGTAAGCAATCCTAGACACTGAATTATGCTAGCTACTTACCTATGGCTCAGAAGCAGCATCGAAGTATTGCATATTCTACAATTAAGTTACTTAAAGTAGTAATAAAAAAAACTCTTATTATTGTCAACCCTCATGCAAAAACAAGCAATTCATTTCTTTGAAGTTGTGATATTGATTTCTATATTGATGAAAGGGAAACCTGTTTAAGTACCTGTTGTTATATGTTGTTTCCTCCACAGGGTCCTCCAGGTCCTGGTGCAGGAATGCCGCCAGGTAGTAGAGGGCGCGGTAGAGGTCAGGGCAGCTGGGGTCCTCCAGGAGGTGAGATGACCTTCTCCATTCCTGCTCACAAATGTGGGCTTGTAATTGGCAGAGGAGGAGAGAACGTCAAGTCCATCAACCAACAAACCGGTGCATTTGTGGAGATATCTCGTCAGCCACCACCAAACGGTGACCCAAACTTCAAACTCTTTACCATCCGAGGGTCTCCACAACAGATTGACCACGCAAAGCAGCTTATAGAAGAGAAGATTGAGGTATGTTCAAGGAATACACATTGTAAACAGCTATCAGCACCCTCTTGAGCGATTTCAATTGTGAACGTTTTCTTCCTCTTTATTTAGGCTCCATTGTGTCCAGTGGGTGGTGGTCCTGGTCCAGGAGGCCCAGGTGGTCCAATGGGTCCCTATAATCCTAACCCCTATAATGCAGGGCCTCCTGGTGGTGCTCCCCAGTAAGTACAATCTACCAACTGCACTTAAATGCAGCCGTGTTGAGTTTTATTTCAAGGGAAACTGTTACAAACCAACAATTTCTGCATTTAAACTGTCCTGTGTCTCTCTGCAGTGGAGGATCACCTGGTGGTCCCCAGTACTGTCCTCAGGGTTGGGGAAATACCTACCAGCAGTGGCAAGCCCCAAATCCACATGACCCCAGTGAGTACCGAATTTTGTGCACTCAGTCTGTTTCTGTTGGTTCCACTATTTAATTTTTTCCTACTGGTTTTCCCCCATCTTCATCAGATAAGGCAGCAGCAGATCCGAATGCAGCATGGGCAGCCTACTATGCACAATATTACGGACAGCAGCCAGGGGGCGCCATGCCAGCTCAGGCTCCCGGGGCTCCTGCAGCAGCTCCAGGGGACCAGGGCCATGCAGCACAGACCTCTGGGGGCCAGCCAGACTACACTAAGGCTTGGGAGGAGTACTATAAGAAGATGGGCATGAGTAAGTTGGATCTGTCAACACACAGTAGACTTGTTAAAGGTCAAGCTTTGAATTACAAGGTTTTGCCTGTTAAGGTTTTGACATCCCAGCTTGAGTTGTTTATTCTGAAAAATGACATCTCAATTTTAAGTCTACGATTAATTATTTTCTCTTGAACAATTAATGATTTACAACCATCAAATATGTTCAAATTTAGGAATGTACAGCAAAGACTTAAGGTGTTTCTATAACGTAACCCGCTTAACCCCAAGCAGTGTCTGTGTATTTTTTGCTCCTGTCACATTTTTATTTGCTGGCTCATTTTTCATTGCCATATTAAGTCCTGTACCTTTTTATAGAAGCAGCACAACCATTGCTAGAGGTAGAAGGAACTCATAGAGATGTTCTACTTTCATATTTACTTTGTTTTTATACTTGTCTCCTTTCTGCTCTGTGCAAAGCCTGCAGTTCAGCTAAGTCCAGCATCCGTGTGAATTTTTGTCACATTAATGTCAGTAATAGCTTTGGAGGTGCATTGAGGTGTGCAGATTTTTTTTTAGTTTTTTTACAGAATCTGGTAAATGCAAATAGTTTGAGGCAAATTTTTAAATGAGACATGCAGAATAAAGTGATTTTGATGAACTATTGTGATTTTCAGCTTAGATTTTAATGTTTTTTCTAACAGCATACAGTCACATACATTTCGATCAAAGACCATTGGTATGTTGAAAATCAAACAATAATTTCCCTTTATACAGTCTTAAAACTTATACACAACAACAACATACATTTCAAACCTATCGTTGGGTTTTGAGGTTCAAAGGATCAAAACACAAAGACAGTCAGTCGTCGACATAATTTGACTGATACAGTCAATCATGTTAGTGTTTTATTCAAAATATAGTAATATGCTGCAAAAATCTATCAGCTATGTGACTGTGTGTAAGTAAAATCTTGTTTTGTTTTTTCCAGCCCAGCCAGCGGGAGGTGCAGCAGCCGCTCCAGGAACAGCAGCAGCCACCACAGCAGCTGCAGCAGGGGGAGCTGCAGCCGGAGGCCAGCAGGACTACAGTGCAGCCTGGGCTGAGTACTACAGACAGCAGGCTGCCTACTATGGACAGGCAGGGCAGGCTCCTGGACAGCCAGCTGCTCCACAGCAGGGACAACAGGTACTGCATACGTAGCTGGTATCTGAAATAATCTAAAACCCGCCAAGAAGAAGGAAGATAAATAGTTATGTGCAAGTTTTTTTAATGGCCATTTTTGTAGAAATGTTTTCTGTGGTGTTTTGTATATAAAATGAGTTATTGTGAAAGAATCTTTATAAAAAGTACCTTTTTTAGTAAAACATTATTTCATGGCCTCCTGAGTTGTACCACATGGATGTAACATGAGGAATCTAGTCGGTGATCATTGTTGAACCTGCATGCGTAGATTCAGATATTTTCGATGCACCAAAGTGACCACTGACATGTTTTTAAAGGCTAATTTAATCGCATAATGTCTGTCTCTTTTCAGGCGCAGTAAAAAAAAGTGGCTGGGTCTATTGGACAGATGTGAGGGATCTCTGGACTTGTTTGTTTTTTCCTTTTTGGCTTTAATAAGACAAGACCATGGTTTACTCACCCCACCAGACATTTTCTATACCAACCTTCATATTTGTATTTTAAAGTCAAAATCAAAGAAACAAAAGGGAACACATTTTGCCCATGCATTGAACAAAGCACTAAAAACTACCCTGGTTACCATTCAGTTTTCCTCTTCACTTCACCCACGCCTTGTATTGATTGTTTTTGAGTTTTTGTTTTTTGTTTTTTTTTTTTCTTCTTTTTTAAAAAATGTGAAATAAGCATCTTTGCTTGCAAGCTAGCACAACAGCATCTCAACACTGACTCACATTTCATTAGTTTTCCCCTTCGGTTTCCTGAGGGTAAAAACTGTCTAGCAGTATTTTGAATATATATTCAAAAAATAATTTGTTTATATGAAAGAAAGTCGTAAAGTTTTTGGTCCTTTCCTTTTTTTTCCTTCTTGTTCCTGGTACTTTTTTTTTTTTTTTTTAAAACTTCATTTTTAACAAACATTCCCGGTGTTTAACTTGCAGGTCTATTTCTCCCCCTGCTGTCTTGATTTCTCATTTTTAATTTTATTCCTTTGTAATTATTTTCTTTAAAAGGGGGTCTTGTGTGTCTGTATACAGTGTATGCTACTGAACAGGAAAAATGGATGTAAGTTGGCTGTAATAAGGCACTAACCAGTATGTAAGTTGGTGCATGTATGTGTTCGTGTGCTCGACTCCCTTCGGTTTCATTTCTTCATCCTTTACTGTTGAAAGATTGATTTCTTCTTTTTTTCTTTTTTTTTTGTTCTAATAGGTTATGTTACTGTATGCTGATTTTTTTAATGTTATTTTTTACAGCTTGTTTTTAAATACTTAAATAAAAACATTGAAATCACCTGTGTGTTGTGTGGTCATCCCTTGGATTGAGGTTGGGGGAAATAAAAGTGCCCTCATATTAGATAAAACACATGTTGGAAAGATTGCACGTTTAATTTGTCACGCTGGAAGTGAGTGATTAAAACACGTTCTGCTAAGTTTTTTTTTCTTTTTCTTTTCTTTCATGGTGGCTTCCCGCAGCATATCGCCTCTGTTGTGCCCTACCTTTGTTTTGGTTTTGATGGATGCACACACCGGCCTGTGAGCGCAGCCTCCTGCCGCCTGGGAGCCAATCGGGACTGGCCTGGCTGCAGCGGGGGACAACAGCTCAGAGGGAGATGGCGCCCAGCTCGAAATCTGAAAAGGACGACAGCAAACAGAAAACCCAGAGAAAACACAAAGACCATGTCGTGAAGCTTCTCATGCGTGGGAAGGTAGATATGAATGCACGAAATGAGTGGCACGAAACGCGAAAATGGTGGTTCGGGAAACGGTGTGTGACTGTTTAAGTGAAGGCCTCCTTGTTTTCTGGAGCTTCTGCGGCTAGCTAGCAGCTAGCGGCTAAATAGCACGGCGGCTAACTAAATAACAACTAACGGCTGGCAGGTGGCTACTGAGCTAATGCTACCAATTACGAAAACAGTGCGATTCCCGTGCTTTTTGGCGATTTTACCCTGCATTTGTTTCTCAGCTTGGCTCATCTTCGTGTAACTGAAAGGTGTCAACGTGCTAGACACTAAAGCCAATGATTAAAACCTGTTACACAGCTGAGCTTTGCTATAGTTGATTGTAGTCGGCGTTAGCTTTAGCTAAACCGCAGTTTGCAGCTCTTCACAGCTCATAAGTGCAATCTCTGTTCCCAGATTTAAAGTCAGCCGCTTCACTTGATAGATAACTGATCTATTTTATGTGTGCTCAAGGTCATTAGATACTCAGGAATATTAGTACGCTGTGCATTGAATGCAGATTAACCTACACCACAGAATAAAACAAATCTCTGTTCATTATGTTGCTTTATTTGCAATGTGTTAACAAGCTGCAACTGTTTCTCTGTTGTGCAGCTGTCAGGACAGTTTTCTCAGCGCCTGTTCAGGAAGCTGCCACCCCGAGTGTGTGTCCCATTGAAGAACATTGTCAGCGAGGAGTTCCTGAGAGCAGGGTTGGTGTGTTTTCCTACATGGGTTTGTTGTGTTTCAGCACATTGTCTCACACACTGCACTGCATCACATTATGTAAAGCAGGGCTGCACAATACTAGGGGGGAGAATGCCATGTTGGATGTTTTGCACACCAGATGATTTGAGTTTAGAGGGAAGTGCGTCTAGCAAAGTTAAAAAAAATGTAAAAAGCCATTTGGACTTTTCTCACATATGATGTTACACTTGCAAAGGCTTCCACATTAGTTTTCTGCTTTAGATGGCTATTGGATCTGGCTCTGCACTCGTACAGAGCTTTGTGGTGTTGATTTTCATGGTCTGAAAATACACATGTTGCCTTGCATAGTGGCAAAAATTGCAAAACACTGCCGATAGAGCACCTGTTTTTGGTCAACATCATCCTTCCTGTAGCTGAAATATTTCAGTTTAACTGACTTGTATTCCTTTTTGCGACCAAATCTTCCCTTTCAGTGTTTCCATACTGCTGTCGCTCATTTTGCTGCACACATGCAGAGAGTTTGTGTATTGAAAAAAAAGTTTATATAAACTCAGTGATTCCTGGAGCCCTTAAATAGGAGTAAATGATGTTCAATAAGAGAGATTTCTCTTGTAGATTAGTCTTGGAAAATGAGAAGCAGCAGCAAAAGTTGTAGCATGTTAAGTTGGGTTATTTTACATTGCACTTCCTGAGATGTGTCCATTGCGCCTGTCCACCCAGTGCTGTTAATACTTAATAATATATTGTGCAGCACTAAGAATACTGACTTCATTTCTAATAAAATAGGATATTCGTTTGTGACTCGACCTGTTGATGCCAGTAGGGTTCCATCAGTCCTCTTCCTGTACTAAGGAAGGAGCGAGGGGTGAGGAGTGAGGACATTGGGGTGAGATAGAGCATCATGTTCTATCACCGGACTGTGTACAATATTTAGGCACTTGGTAATTTGTTGTTGTTGTTGTTGTTATTATTATTACTATTGTTGTAGTTACTATTGTTGCTGAGGTTGTGTTGGTGTTGTTGTTGTTGCTGGTGCAGCAATTTCCCTGAGGTTTCCAACAAAGGGATCAATAAAGTTCTATTCTATTCTATTCTATTCTATTCTATTCTATTCTATTCTAGTAAATCCTGTCAGGGTTTCTGCCAATATAATACCAATAGTTGCTTTTCCCCAAAATGCAAGATTCGCACACCTCACAGTGTAGAACTCATCTGAATCATTTTAATGTAAAGAGCAATCATTGCCTAAAAAAATTCCCCCCTTGAGAGAATAGTAATAAACTGAACTATCTGTTTTATGATGACACGGACTACAAACTGTATTTAAAATTAATCGGTGTCGTTGTAGCAGATACTCAGCCAGCTTAATAGGTTTTGTATCTGCGCCAATACTGTTCCAGTGTAGCAGACTGGTTCATTTCACAGCAGTATTTCACCTTTCTGTTTCCAGGCATATCTTTCTTGGCTTCACCAAATGTGGCCGCTACGTTCTGTCTTACACCAGCGACTGTGGAGAAGATGATGATTTCTCTTTCTACACCTACCATCTCTATTGGTGGGAGTTCAACCTGTACAGTCGACTCAAACAGGTAAGTGAAGGGTAGCTTAGTGGAAGCTCAGTAAAAATGAAATGTCCTTGCTTGGATTGTGATCGCTATAGATATCTCGTTCTGTCTTTCATGTTGGGTTTCTTGTCTTTAGGTCCACCATGTGCGACTGTTCGCAGGAGAGGAAATCTACAGCGACCTGTACCTTACTGTGTGTGAGTGGCCAAGTGACCACTCCAAAATTGTCATCTTTGGTTTCAAGTAAGGACTGAGATGTTCCAGTTTCAGGCAATGTGCTGTTATTGGAGTGTGTGGGTAATAATAATGACATTTTTGTGGGTGTTTGTTTCTGCCTGCCAGCACACGCAGTTCAAGCTCTGTTCTGATGAACCTAATGATGAGTGATGAGAACAACAGAGACATCTACATCACCATAGCCTCTATGCCACCTCCTAAACCTTGCTCTTACTGCTGTCCAGTTCCCTCAGCCACAACCATACGCACAGGTAAACAATCGTACAGGGATCCAATACTTTGCTGCTCTCACTGCCTCATTTAGTCTCGCTTTAATCCACTTTTATCATTTCTTCTCCACAGGAAGTGGTGAGTGTCTCGAACATGGATATGTGCTCAACAGCAGGTACCAGGTGGTGTATCCGTTCCCCACTTTCCAGCCAGCTTTCCAGCTGAAGAAGGACCAGGTTATCCTGTTAAACACCAGCTACTCTTTGGTGGCCTGTGGCATCTCACTCTGCCCAGGTAATGCAGCGGACACAAATAACAGAATAGACACATTTCACTTCTTCTTTTTACACCTTAGATCCAAATGCCTGTGCTCAAAAATCAAAGACTTTTTTTTTGTGCATGTATGTACTTGGTACTTGTTCAGTCACACACTGAATCCTAAGCCGTTCCTGAACATTTTTTTTCACTGTCACATTTTTACTTACTGTAGCTCATTTTTCACTGCAATATAAAGCCCTGCCTCTTCAAGGAAACAGCACAACCATGACTAGAAATAGAGAGAACTCAGAAATGTCTTTTTACTATGCCATAAAGGAGAAAAAGGAAAAAAAATCTTCTTAAATATTCATTTTAGGATATTTTAAAAACCTGGAATCAACATCTACAACATTTATGGTGGCATTTCATACTATAGATTTTTTACTAATTATATTTATTTATGTTCATATGTGTCTGCTCTGTGTAAACACAACCTGCACATCAACCCAGTTCTGCCAAACATTCCTGAATTTTTAGTTGTATTACTGTTGAGCTGTAGTTGAGTCAGTCATGGCCCAAAGAGTCAGGAATTATTAGTTTTTTGCAGCATCTGGTTGCTGCAAACACTTTATTTTTCCACATTTTTTTTTTATGAGGCATGTCAAATAAAATAATTTTGATTTGTCTCCCCATTTTAAGCTTAGATTTGGCTGCTGTCAGTAAAAAAAGGTTAACTCACTCATGATTTGTTATAGAACCTTTGGAAAGCTGAAAATCTGACAGTTCATCCTGCTCACACAGTTTCTAGCTCTGATAGATGATGTATTTTTAGCAGTTTAAAAAAAAACCTTTCACACACCCACTGTTATTTATTTTTTTTTGCTTCTTCATGTTGTCCTGTCAAATATACTAAAGGAGCTTTTCTTCAAAAGTTTCCCAACATGTGCCTGTATAGAGCATAACCATGTACAAATACCCCAGATTGTAGTATGTCTACTGCGGTCCATGAATTGGCCTTTAGACATTGCTTCTAGGTGGGCGTAGGAGGAAACACTGTTAGAACATACAAAGACTTCAAATACTTTTGTAGTCAAGATATCAAATGTTGTCACTCTGACTTTCATTATCATGCTGATGTTTTGTAGCTTGACGTCAGCGTTGGGTTATGATTCAGATCTGTTTCTTTCTCATCCAGGTACAGAGGGCCAGTCATCGCAGATCCTTTACACAAACAGAGCGGTGGTGTCAAGTCAAGCCGCACCGTCTCTTTCCTCCACCCCCGTGGCTTCTTCTTCCTCACTACCTCAGGGATCTCCCGAGAATCGACTGCCACCTAGCAAGCCCGCTCCCATTCCCTCGTCTCCCAGCCATTCACAAGCTGCCATGCGAGTCCGGGAGTTTGCTGCTGACCTTTTTAGACGGGCCCAGGGAGGAGGAGGTGGAGGAGGAGGAGGAGGAGGTGGTGGAGGTGGGAAAGAAAATGAGGGCCAAGTGGAGAGGAGAACAGCTGATGGTGGTCAAAAAGAGGCAGTGCCAACACCAGCAGACAAAGGGACTAATGCAGAGACTCCGAGAGAGGAGGAGGACAGTAAAGAGTGGAGGGTGGTGGAAAGACGGACTAATTTACTTCAGGCGTCAACATCAGGTGGCAGCCACAGTCTGTCACACAGCTCTGAACCAGTCATGTCTCCTGCCTCATCTTCGTCTTCCCCGTCGTCCTCAAGCCAGGAGGCCGGCACCAGCGAGCCTGGATATGTGAACTACTCTCGCTTGCATTATCGCCTGCAACAGCCAGGAGCAGCAGAGCAGAACACAGGAGGTGAGAGACAATGAAAGTAGAGATTTATAAAGTAAACATTTTCTTTGAAGAAGTCTGACCGACATTTTCCACGCTCTAGGTTATGAAGACGATAAAGTCCAGCTACCGTTCACCGTTACTGATCTGAAAGGACGGAACCTGCAGCTGGTCACCGGGCCGCACAATGGAAAGGTATGTGTTCATGCTACATCATTTAATTCAGTTTACTTGTATAGCACCAATTCACAACATATCATCTAATAGCACTTTACATAGTAAGGTGAAGACATTACAAATTTGATAGAGAGAACCCAACAATTTCAAAGCTCTGTTGAGCAAGCACTTACTGACAGTGGGAACGAACCAAAAAAGTATTTTGTGGCTGTATGCTCATAATCATTGTAAAATGTAAAATACACATAGAGAGGTAATTTTCTCAGTAACTATTCAGTTTCAAGTTGTCCTGACTATCCTTTAAACACTGGATTGCTAATAAAAATCAATCATTAGCTGAATGTGCATCAGTCTGGTTTTACAGTAGAGCAGGGGTGTCAAACTCATTTTCATCTTGGGCCACATAAGCATTATGTTTGCCCTCAAAGGGCCAGCTGTAATTGTAAGACTGTATAAACGTAACGACTTCTTAACACATTGTTAAATAATTGTCTCTGCATTTGACTATTATTTATTGTATGTACAACTATTGTGTATGCCTGTAACTTTTCCAATGGTAGCACTGGTGTTACCAACTGTCTTTGTTGGTCGCACCAGCTAATGATTCGGTCCCCCCCCTTTATTTTGGTTCAGCATTGCCACAGCTATTAATCCACCATGCATGCTGATGAATAGTTGTTTTTGCATAACTTAGTTATGTTGCATTGATTTTCAGTGATACAAGACTTGATATTTGTCAAATGTTTTAACCTGAAAATATATTTCTTTGATTCTTTGATTGATTGGATTTGGCTCGCTTGCCTTGAGTTTGACATATGTGCAATAGATCATAGTCTGCTTGGTTTTATTTGATGTAACTACTAGTTTAAACAATAACATACAGTGAGCTTCCACATGTATTAAACTCTTTGATTGTTGAAGGTCTAATAATACCAGTAATACAGCATCCAACTCAGTAAAGACTTTACATTGACAATTCTTTAAGAAAACCTTGTTGGGAATCTGAATCTCTTTTAGTTTATCATTATCCTGTTCTGGTTACATGATTACGGTGTCTGTTATATTTTAGCGCAACTGTAAAACATCATGTTTTCTGTGCTACCCTACCCTGCATAAATAACGGTTGTTTGCTGTTGATAATGTCGGTGAATTTTGTGTAAGTTGTGTGATTTTTTTTCTCTTGCAGAGTGTGTGTGTAGAGCAGTTGACTCTGGACTTTGAGTATCTTATCAACGAGGTGATCAGGAGCGATGCTGCCTGGGCCCCACAGTTCTGCTCCTTTAGCGACTATGATGTGGTGATACTAGAGGTCAATACGCACACATTCACACACACGCACACATATAGTGTTGTACGCACACTACAGACACCTTGTTGACTTCTTTTTCAACATTCAACCTCTTTTTCCTCCCTAATTATACTTCATTACACCTGACACTAATCTGCTGCAGCTTTTATGAAGTTCTTCATTTCTGTGAACTATCAAGCTGTCCAACAATGTTTCATTGTGGGGGAAGTGTATGTGCGTGTTAAGGTGGTGAAACAATACACAGCTACACCTATGACCCACAACAATAAAACCACCTGCTTAATATTGAGTTTCATAAAACAGCTGAAGCAGCTTTTTGGGTTCTGCAGGTTGTGCGTTTACACTCCACCATAGATTTGATTGCAGATGACAAGTCTGATTAAAGTTGCAGTCTTGGAGTTTAATGTATTCTGCTTTATTTTATCAGACCTGTCACTTGAATTGTCCAGTACAGTGTCAATAAGTAGTAGAAGTCAGCAAACACTGCCAAATAGCTGCAGACTGCAGGACACTAGTACCTGAGGAAAGGCAGGAGTCACAGCACAAGTGACTTTACAGAAACGTACTAAAATATCCACATTTTCCAACTTGTTTCACTGTTTGTTTCAGTAGATTACAGCATTAAAACATGGAAGAAAGAACATGTTGCAAATTAATCTGAAGGTAATTTGTGTTTGTGTGTCAGGTGTGTCCAGAGACCAACACTGTGATGATCAACATTGGTCTGCTGTTACTGGCATTCTCCAACTCAGATGAGGAGCACTGCAGGTACTTTTCTTCCTCTCTGCCGTTTACCTTCATTAAGACGGACCCTCCTTCTCATTTCCCAGTTTGTACATCCTCGATTCCTTTCCTCGACTCCTCTCCTCGCGTCTGAAGAAGAGACACGAGAAGGGAGGAGTTAAGTCAACAGGCATTTAACAAAATGAGACTCGTGTAGTGAATATAGGAGGCATGACAAACGAGTACTATACGAATAACGGTGAGGTAAGTTTATTTGTATAGTACTTTATAAACAGTAAGGCACAGTTTGAAAAGGAATATAAATCAATATACCCAAGACATTTTAACACAATTGCGTCGTTAAATGGAGAATAACAAAAGGAAGATAAAACAGAAAGTAGTAGTTACTGTGCAGTTAATTATATTCACAAGTCTCCAATTGAGTTGAGTGAAAGGCAGAGACAAACAGAAAAGCCTTCAGCCTTGATTTAAAAGAACCAAGAGATGCAGCAGACCTGCAGTTATCTGGGAGTTTGTTCCAGATACAGAGTGCATAAAAATGGAAAAGTGCCTCTCTGTGTGGGGACAGAATGTAAACCTGTCCTACATGAGCATAGAAGTCTGGATGGTTCAGAACATAGCAGCAGATCAGAAATGTATTTCTGCCCCTAATCAATCAATCAATCAATCAATCAATCAAATTTTATTTGTATAGCACTTTTCACGTTTTAAAGGCAGTGGGGAAGACGCCCGTCTGAAGAGAGCAATTCATCATGTTTAAAATCTGTTCCTCAAAAAATCCATAAAAAGAATTTAAAAATGGTGTGGGAATTGGGTCTAAAAGGCAGGTTGTTGGGTTTACTTGGGAGAAAACTCGACCAAGTGTCCTTGCATCAACCAGGGCAAAACTCTCCAGTGTTTCCTCAGGCAAGGGCAACAGTCCAGGTGTGTTCACAGGTAAAACTTGTTGGGATAAAAGGCTGGATCTGATGTCCTTGATTTTAGTTCTGAAGTCGTCTGCAAAATTCTCGCAAAGAGCGTCTGTTGACGTATTAAAAGCTTTATTAAAATTAGTGCCTATTAAAATATCAAAGGTGGAGAAGAGGAACCGGGGGTTCTTTATGGTCTGAGATGAGTTTTGAGAAATGGGAAGTTCTTGCCTGTTTGACTGCGTTAGTATAGGTTTTGAGTTGTTGACGAAAAATCTCATAATGTACAGTAAGTTTTGATTTCCTCCATCTCCTCTCAGCACTCCTGCAGTTTCTTTTTAATGTAATGATTTTGTCGTTGTTTCTCCACGGGGGTGTAGGCTTTCTTTTTATTCTTCTGGTTACAAGTGGAGCAACTCAGTCTGAGGTTGACTTCAGTCTACTGTTAAAACGATCAACGATAAAATCACAAGGTGCAGGTGAAAAGTCAGCAGGAGTGCTCTGTAAAACCTCAATAAAATTTGCAGCCACTTCAGAAGTTAGGTAGTGTTTCCTCACCATTCCCACCGGGGCCTCCTGCAGGTTAAAACTGGTGATGTTAAAAAACACACAGTAGTGGTCAGACACAGCCAGGTCCACAACAGAGGACACACCAATAGGACTAAAGAGGACTAAACCATTCAGTACTTTTTAAACTAATGGCAGGATTTTAAAATCAATTCTTTGACAGACGGGAAGCCAGTGTAAGTCCACTCAATACTGGAGTGAAGTGATCCACTTTTCTGGACTTGATTAAGTCACGAGCTGCAGGGTTCTGATTCAGCTGCAGCTGTCTGATAGATTTTTTGTGAGAAGACACTGTTTGAGTATTTGAGTTGAATGAAGATAAATATAATAGATAACTCCTGCTGAAACCCGGGATAAGATAGGACTTTTTTTCTGAAGGAAATTCTTCAGGTAGTACTAAGCTGACCTGGTAGTTAATTTATTGTCCTTGTTGAGATTCATGTCTGAGTCCATAATTGCACCAAGATTTCTGGCTTAGTTTGTGTTTTTCCAAAACCGATTGAAGCCGATTGGTGAAAGAGTAGAGATAAAAAGTAACATAGATTATGATCATATGATTGATCTTATACACACATTTGTCAGTTGTGCTGTGTCACGGCTCTTTTACGTCACGGGTGCAAAAAAGAATAATCGAGGATACATCAAGGATACACCGGGGCATCCTCGCTTGTAGTTCCCTCAATCCTCTCTCCACGAGATGCATACTAGGATCTGAGATGTCCTTCAAGATGGTGCACCAAGATGTATTTTTGTGTCACGGGCAGAAGCTTGGAGGAAAGAGGAGACAAGGAGTCTGAAATTAGTGAAAAGAGATGAATGAGCCAACAGACTCCTTTCTCCCCCTCCCATCCTTTGTGTTTCTTTTTGGATTGTTGACTCTGTAGCTCTTATATTGTTTCTTTCACCCACTTTAATGTGTTCTTCGTTGTTTCTGCTTTCAGGCCAAACACATATCATTCCAACCTGCAGGTGAGCTGGGACCTAAACACAGGTGTGTGTTGCACTGTGGGTGTTGGCGACCTGACAGAGGTTAAGGGTCAGACCAGGTGAGCAACTACCAGAGCCCTCTTAACGTACACACCTGTCTGTCTGCCCACCTGTTTCTTTTAAGTTGGAATGAAAGCGTCTATCTTTGTCTGTCTGTCAGTGGGAGTGTGTGGAGCTCTTACAGGAAGTCCTGCGTGAACACGGTGATGAAGTGGCTGGTTCCTGAGAGCAGCTCTCGTTACATCAACCGGATGACCAACGAAGCTCTGCATAAAGGTGTGATTATTATAAACCCTGTAGAAATGGCCTAACAATGTCTCCAAATACTGTTCAGATGAAGATTCTCGCTCAGTCATGTCAGTAAAAAGTAAGAGGCAACTGAGACCTACCAGACTTTCTACTTGTAAGGTGTATCCATTAAATATAAAAAAAAATAAGCATTTATTGAGAATTGGTCATAAACTACAATTGTCATTTGTTTTCCTGTGTCAAAAACTCCTTCATACGTTAACAGAAAGATGTTAAAATTGGTGCATATTATCAGTTTTTAGAAAACACAGGCACAAATTAGCTGTGAAATGAGGTTTATTCGCTTTTCTTGCCAAGTTAGATAAGAAGATTGATGTCAGGCTCGTGTCTGTGACCCAGTATTTCTTGATCTGCTCCCATCCAAGGAATAAACTGGCACGGAATAGCCGCTTAAAATGGGGTATTTCTGTTTTCACACTCGGATTAAACCATATATAACTCGGTAATTAGTGACCCGCACGTATGAGATTTAAATGTGCCGGTGGAGGGATTTTGTTACCTCAGACCAGGGTCAAGCTACCTGTTTCCATCTGTGTACTGTGTATATGCAACACTAAGCCAACCTGCTGTTTCTAGCTCCATATTTACTGCACAGACAGAACTCTCATTTACAACTAATGTCATGTTGTATTGACTGATGTCGCTGTTCAGGATACATCACTGCTTTTTGGAGAACAAAAAAAAAATTCTCTAAGTCCAACTTCTTAAATGTGTTTTTTTTCTAGTTTCTTTACTTTTCTATGACAGTAAATTGAATATCTTTGAGCTGCTGACAAAACAAGCTATTTGAGGATGTAATCTTGGGAACACCGATTGACATTTTTCACCATTTTCTGACATTTTATAGACGAAACAACTACTCGGTTAATTGGAAAAATAACCAACAGAGCAGTCGTCAATGAACCTAATTGGCAGTTGCAGCCCTGGTTTTTGTGTTCCTAATAATAAACCACATTTAGATTTGTTACAGAAGGACAGAAGTGGATGCAAAGCACTCGACAGATTTGCCTGACAAAATAAATTACATGTTATTAGACCTCATTCTTTTTTATTTTCTTTGAAGAGAAAATGTCTTCTACCACTGTTGGAAGTTCTACAGTCTTTGCAAATTTGTGCGTCCTTGATTTTTGTGTTTATGTAAATACATGCTAAATGAAATTCAATCCTTTCTCCTCGTCTCACCCGTAGGCTCGTCTCTGCAAGTGCTGGCAGACAGTGACCGATGCACCTGGATTGTATTATGAAGATGTCCACAAGTGTCAAAGTAACAGAAACACACACATACACGTCGACATGGCCTCGTCTTCAGTATGGAGCGAAACTGCACACGTTCAGGGGCTTTGGTAACATGTAGTGAGAACACGTGTCAAATTAAAACTGAACAAAGAAAGCTCCAGATGAAAAACTGTAAAGATGAAGTTTTATAGGTAGTTTCTCCCCCCCCCCTCCCTTCTTCTTCTTCTTTTTGTAATTGTGTACTGTATTGTTACAAGCACCAAAACCAAGAGCTGGACTGAACGAAGTTTTAGTTTTTACTTTTTGTTTTTATACATAAAAGGTGTACTTTCATTGTAGTGTGTGTGTCTGCAACTGAACGTATGCAATATCTGTACCTGTGTGATGTTCACAAGGTGTGTGTGGATGAGTTTATTGTGTGTGTAATATTTGACACATTCTGCTGCTTCTGAACAAGTTGTTTCTCTTTCGGTCTGGACCAGTTCAGTCTAGCTGTGTGAATTTGTTCGGCTGCAGTATTTAAAATGAGACGAAGTTGACTCAGTACTGCTTCGCTAGACTCTTTTCTGTTTTTTTGTTTTTTTTTTCTCAAAAAAACACCTGTTGTGGAAGAAGAGGGTGGTTGGAGTCATCTGGAATGGAAGTAAGACTGTATTCTGCTGGGATATTTTGTTAAAATAAAATGTTGAAAAGCTTTTTGAGTTTGTTGTGTTAAGATCTGGAATGACGAAGAGTAGCCAGATATAGATTCAACAAAAACATATCTTTGCTTCTCCTTTGTCCTACATTACCCACAATGCAACTCGACCCCTAAAAGTTTGGCTGGAGGTTTGAATGTAGCAGTGGGTAACGGAGCCTCGAGCAGGGATGAGAAGCAGAGCTCTGGTAAACTCACTTTGTTCAAACTTCACACTGCAAGATTTATTTTCAGGATTTAATTACAGGTGACATCACTTCAGGCTTGGCTGATATATTTTTTTCAGGGCCGATACCAATATAAGTTAGTAGTGATCAAGAAAACCAATAGCAGATGTGTGAAACCAAGTCACATCTGTAGTAAAAGTGAAAATCCTGGCATCAAAATTTAGAACAGAGACTAAAACATAAAACTTAATTGAAAAAGCGTAGTTCTTTTTATGTTTGACTTGCATTTAAATAGAAGAAAACTGTTCAGCATTTATCTTTCACTGTTAATATATCACTTATGTTGAGAAACCAATCAGATATTACTTTGGGTGGGGCAATGCTTGAGGACACAGTGGTGACTGCAGATTGAGAGAGACGGCTGCATTTGATCCAAAATAGTGCATTTTAAACTCAACTCTCTAATCAGAAGTGACTTTTTTTTAAAAATGTGATGATTGAAATAATGTTGGGCTGCAAGGTGGAGCAGTTGGTAGCACTGTTGCCTTGCAGCTAGAAGGTCGCCAGTTCGCGTCCCGGTGAGGACACCCGGGATCTTTCTGCATGGAGTTTGCATGTTCTCTCCGGGTTCTCCGGCTTCCTCCCACACAGTCCAAAAACATGCTGAGGTTAATTGGTGATTCTAAATTGTCCGTAGGTGTGAATGTGAGTGTGCTTGGTTGTCTGTCTCTAAGTGTGGCCCTGTGATAGACTGGTGACCTGTCCAGGGTGTCCCCTGCCTTCACCCTGAGTCAGCTGGGATAGACTCCAGCCCCCCCACGACCCTAGTGATGATTAAGCGGTGTATAGGTGATGGATGGATGGATGATATAATGTTAAATATCACATCCAGTAATCGGTCGACTCTTTACTGTCATTTAAAGAAATTTTGTCCGATTTTGTTCAGCTCCCCTCTGGAGACACAAAAGATGTAATATGTTATATAATGTATAAAAGTAAAAAGTGCCTCTAAACAGACTTTGGTGTGTAAAATTGGTGGCGTTGTCCTTAAATAGAAGAGAACAGCAGAGAGTACATTTAGCCCACATAAAGCTGGTCATGTTTTTTCAGACTTTGTTCTAGTGTTTGCCCTCTTTTTTCTGCTTTCGTTAATATTTGTATCCTCTTGCGCTTTTAAAAATTGCTAAATTCAGAATTATTGGTTACAGCTAATGGTACAATGGGTAATGGATCCTGTAGACATCATGTTATTTTAAGGACTCACAGGCCAAGCCCTCTGATATTGTGTGTAAACGTGTTGTCGGTGACATGGTCGAGAATGACTCGTGGAGGTATTTCATAAAGAAACAGTCTGGCACAAGTTCTGAGAGCAATCACATCTCTTTAGTTAACAGTGAGATTAAAGCTACAAACGTTGATCACAGATTTAAGTACAAAGGTCTTCAGAATAACATCAAGAGGACCTAATTTAGAAAAGGTTTCGTAGCACAAGCTAGGGACAGAATCCAATTTTCATGACATCGCTGTTTAGCAGTTGATTTCACCTTTCGAGTTTTGCATTCTGCCCTCATATATGGATAAATGTAAACATACCCTTGTTTCTATGTAGTGCTCTTTGGTGGCATCCTGGTTGTCTGAGAGGGACATCCCACTACTACTATTATATTTTCTATTTGCTTTTACTTCAGTCCCAAACTCTACCACTTCATAAAATTAAATTCGCTCATGCCACACGGGAAGCTGCTGGTTGAGCATGTGCTCTTTGGAAGGGGTCCATTTAAAGTCATCATCACAATAAAAATATAGCTCAATACTCTGGATGGTGGACATACCACAACATATTTCTTAAGGCAATAATGGCTAAACAACATACAAGTAGTTTGGATATATGACGGCATTCACAAAAGGTACATAATATAGGTTATCTACAGTATGTTCAACATAGATACTGAGAAAATAAACATCTACTTTTACTACAAAAAAAAACAACTTTGAGATAGCTGTAGCTGGCACATCTAGCTGGTACAAAGGTTGCCGTGGATACAGCGATGTCAGTGCTGCTGATTAGGTGGGATAAGCTTTGGCCTTGTGCCGTGGCCCACTTCAGTTGCACAGCATATATGAAGGTGTGGGGTTGCGCTTGAGTCATCTGTCTAATAGGACTTGTGTGTAGAAGAGGGATTATGGAAAGAATAGAGGGATGAAGAATTGAGAAATGGTTGGATGGAAAAACAACAAACTGGGCAGAATTATCACAACGAGGCTAGACTGTCACCATGTAATTATTATTATTTTTTTTTGTCTTTACAGCTAGTAAAAGTTCATGACGACACCAAGACTACTTCACAGGACCTTCATTTATTAATTCACTGATACATAATATATAGAACACAAGCTTGTTCAGGCTAGAAATCTCTCAAAGGCACAGAGTATCAATTAGTTTGGCCAAATTGATGAGAAATTAAATTTTTTTTTAAAAAAGAAAAGAAAAAGAAAAAGGTAAATTAAAGCCGCAAGCGGCGATAGACGGGTCCTCGTCCTACGCTTGTCGGCCTTCACGCACGGCGGGCTGTGGCGCAAACCTGCTCCGGGCAGGACTGTGATCCGGCATGTCGAGTTTGGGGCAAATCGGAGCAAGTGTGGCTAAGTTACGAGTTACTTGTTTAGTGGCGAGCCGCGGCGGCGTGCGTGTTGGCCGGGGTGGAAACGCGCTCTGGCTGAGACTCGGAGCACGCGTGTAAAATTTCAGGCCGATTGGAGCACAGACACAGCACGTCTCGTATTCTGGTGTTTTATGGCGTTGTGGCCAAATTCAAAATTGAGAGAGAGCCGCGTTGAAGAGAAACTGCCGGAGGACATTCGAGAGAAATAAGCCGACACGATGAGAAGGTCCTCACCTGGAGATACAGAGCTGAGGAACATCCCAGAGGAGGAGGCGGATACTTCTGCCCCCTCAGAGACAACAACCGGGCCACAAAGTGTAGGTGGGCTGCGCCTGGCCATCCGCGTGGTCATAGTCAGAGTGCTGAGCAAGTGCAATGCTCTCAAGGATCCGAGCGAACAGCTGGTCTCCTCACATCAGACGCCTGGCCGAAAAGGTGATGGAAGGACTCTCGGTACCTGATGACTTCAGACCAGACCTGGTGATGACCAAGAACGTGAGCAAGAAGGTGGTCAAAGAGCTGCAGAAGAAATTCTGCAGCAGGAAGAAGCTGGAGGTTTTAATGAGGGAGAAGGATCCAGCTGTGGACGAAGCTCTCGTCCAGAGTGTGAGAGCTCACGTTAAAAATATTTTATTTGTCCCAGAAGGGAAATCCAACATCCCTGAGCTCCCTAAGAAGGAGAAGAACTGCTGCCAGGCCGTGTGGGAGATTGTGGTCATTGTTGGCGTTATTTTACTTGGCCTCTTGGCGACTGTTGGGTTTTTCGCAGAACTCTTTTGTTGGCATTCATTTTGTTTGTGTTGATGTTGGGACGCAAGATGGCAAAGCGCCAATATGATCCAGAGTATTTAAATTACTACGAAGACTGGACCCGAATCGCCACTGTTATTATTAAGTATGTTTCGAGCTATCATGTATTCTGAATCTGTATTTTTCACTGAAAAGAATTCCGGGGATTCGCGCGATGAGAAAAGAATTCCGGGGATTGGCCCGATGAATATAGAAGACTCCCGTTGAGCGGTTGAGTGTTTATAAAAAAAAATAAATAAATATGGCATCCACAAATGGCTGTCAGTCTACATCAATGTGCCAACAAATATCCATGGTGCAGTATCATTCCAGATGCTACTCTTAGATTTAAGAAACATATATTTCTGACATTAAAGTTGAGCTCTCCTGCATAGTCATTGCGTTAAAAGGCAATGCAAAGTGATATTTTTCAGTTTAGAGGACAATGAAGAACACTGGAGTCTTCTCATCTCTCCACAGCAAACAGGTCAGTGATTAAGGCGGGGCAGGAGGGAATCAAGAATACACTGAATATATAGTTTAGGCTGGACAGGAGTGGCCACTGAATAGACAGGGAAGGCACAGGGACTGAGGGAAATGATCAGGTGAAGGCAAAGAGGAGAACGGCAGCACAAAAGTACAGGATACAAAATTCGCAAAGGGCTCTCCCACTTTCTCACAACAGACACACAACAGAAACCAGAAGCACACAGAGTGACGGGATGGGGTGACATGGGAAAAAAAAAAAAAAGCAAAAATGTGTTGTTTGGTGTCGTGTTAAGCGTGCAGATGATCAGCTAGGGTGGCGTGCTGTGGGTCTCAGTCAGAGTGTGCAGATTTAAGTTTGTCCTGGGCTGCTTGACGGGCGGCTCCATCCCCTCCTTCTCCTCATCGACTGTGCTCAGAGAGCTGGACTGCAGAACGAGATCTCCGCCCTCCTCCTCGCTCTCCTCTTCCTCGTCCTCCTCCTCTTCTTCTGGTGAAGAAAGACATGACAATTAGTAATCTGATAACGGAGGCTGGAGAAACTAGATGTGAAGAGAGCCGTGCTGCATTTACCTTTTTCCAGGTCTGGAGAGATTCGGCTCTTGACGGTGCTTGCAAACTGCAAAAAATAGTAAGAACAAGACTTTTATAAACTTCATTCATTCATTCATTCCAGGTCTGGAGAGATTCGGCTCTTGACGGTGCTTGCAAACTGCAAAAAATAGTAAGAACAAGACTTTTATAAACTTCATTCATTCATTCATTCATTCAGCCTTTATTTAAACTCAGAATACACTGAGGTATAGAGGCCTAAGTTACAGTGTAGCTGGATAAGAAAATAAAAGACATAAATCATGAAATATAAACTGATAACGCAGACACATACTTCTCCCATGACTGCAATAGGCGTCTCTCCTTTGGCCTGGGCCACCCTGTGCTCTATCAGGTAGTACATATACTCGTCATACAACAAGCGAATCAGGTGAAAGGAGCCAAAACTTGCAGCACTGCGCAGAGTCAGGTCCCGGATTACCATAGAACTGGTGAGAAAACAGAAGATTTAGAAAATGTATCTGGATGTATCTAGAAAATGATCACTTTTACTCCCTTTTTCTCTCACCTATAGAAGGACCAGTTGAGCAGGAAGACCTTGGCAGCCTTTGGAAGGGCCACAGGGTTCTGCTCGTAGGGCTTCAGAACCTGGGAGACAACACTATCCAGCCAGGTAGCCCACTGTTCCAGAGAATTTTGCTGCTGCAGAGTCGCTTTAAAGTCTTGCTCCAGCCTCTGGACCACCCGGTCCTCACACTGACACACCCAGGATGCCTGCTCCTGAAGGGGACACAAAGGTGGACAGAGTCAGGGCTCTGCTCGAGGTCGCCTAAAACACCAACATACAGTGAGAGACAGAAGCTGCAGACATGAACAGTGGTACTAGCAGACCTGTACGTTAGTGAAATCAACCCGATTGAGGTCAGAGAGCATCTGGTTGATCTGAGCTGAGTTCTGCAGGACGGCGCGGGCAGCCTGGGCCAGGTGGTTGAGGCTGGTGTAGCGACGCAGCGTCTGGGAGAAGGAGCCTACGCACACCACCTGAAAAAACAAAAAGAGAGTGAGAAGGAACGCAAGGAGCCTTGGTAAGTTGCTACATGTCACAAGGAGGCACAATAAGGACAGTTAACACACTGCGCTGAATGTGGTTTTGCAAACATAAGAGGACACATGTAAATGCACACCGACATAATGTTTATGTTTGGGAGCAGCGCATTTTTAAAGTAAGTCCTCAGCTTGTCTCTCCCCTTTCATTGAATAATAATAATAATGGGATTAGATAATTACACGTTGCCAGTGCCAGCTGAAAACGTCCTCAGACAAGGTGAGTTAAAAGAAGAGTTAAGTTAGAGCGACCTTGTGTGTCTAAACTGTAAAACCATTTACACAAACCTATCAATATAATCCTGGTTCGAAAGTATTAACACCATAAACTAATTCCTGCCTAACGGGACAGAGAAGACAGTGAGATGCCAGCTCACGTTCGAAAGTGGTGACAGATGTGCAGTTATGTGCAAGATGAACCTTTAAGTCTCCTGCCAAGGCTCCAGCCCCCCCCCTCAACCCTCTACAGGATAAAGCAGTGCATAGAAGATGGATGGAAATCTCATGCCAAGTGTGAAATGATCTGAGAAATTGCTGATGTTGGCTCATACAGGTATAACATCAAAATACCTCAATAAAATCCTGGATGCAGAGCTCTGTCTGATCGCTCTCTAACATACCTTTATGCGAACCATCTCTTCTGGGATGTTCATCATGGCGCCAGTCAACCAATTCTCCAGACTTTTGGCAAAGTTACGGATGGCCTGAGTTAAGGCACCTGATGGTGGTGGTGCAGAGAGGAGAGATGTGATTTAAAGGGATGTAATAGACCGTAAAAATTCTTCTTTTAACAGTAAGAGAGATGTGCTTCAACTCTTAAGAGTAATGCTGTAAATCTAGTTCCAAAGATGCAACGTTGTAGACGTTAAAAGTAACGAACCTTTTGAAAATGCTTTGTTTACTTAATTTTCTACACATTGTTAAAATAAATTGAGTTTTTGAAATTAAGACTTGCATTTGTAGTGCTTGCTTTTAAAATCTCTGATGTTTCCTGACTAATTCACAGACACTTTTTTTTCTACCTTTGTTTAAACTCACTTGAACCTCATTTACAGCATAGCCAAGTAAAAAGAGCAGATGTAGGCATGCAAATAAGAAGCTTAGATAAGAATGACAGCAAAATATTAAATAGCAAAATCAGGAAAATAAGAACAGTTGGAATAATTGTAGCGTCTGAATGTTATAAAGAAATTATTCAACTAAAAGAACACCTGAAGGTAAAACAAGATGAAATCAAACACCTGTTGCCCTGAGGATGAAAATAAATCAAGCTCTATATTGTTTTGCAGGTTATTCCAGGTTGCAGGTGCACAGTGAGTAAAAGTGGATTTTCCAAGCTCAGTAAAAACAGCCAGCACTATAAATAAAGCCCTTCCACTGCTTGAATAAACAGCGTAGTTATGTATTCGTAAGAGACTATGCATGAAAGCATTAATGTCATAGAGAAAGACGTGTCTTGTACCAGATTTAACTATTTAACATCTGCAAGTTCCTTCTAACTAAAAAGTTGTGCAGAAAGCCGGCAAATTCCACTTACTGCTGCCACCTATAATTAAACGCAGCATAAATGTCATCCAGGGTGGCTCTGATTTAATGTGAGCAGTCACTACTTGCGTCTGTGCGTCTTGTTGAGACACTGTTGTGGTTTAGGCTATGTGCTGAGCAGTAAGCAGTGAGCTGGCAGTAGACTGAATTCAGTTTGCGCTGTGCTGATTCTGTTTGTGAGAGCTATAAGCCAGTACTCGAAATTTGAATGCACTTTGTGGTACTAAGGCACTGAAACTGGGCCAGGCTTAGCTTCCTGCACGACTTGCACAAACATGTTCAGTTTAGGGTGTCTCGATGCCATTGTTTCAGTTTGGTTGCAGAGTAAACTGTGTTCAGTTATTTTTGTAGGCTAGCATGACTGTGGTGCTTGTTAAGTTTCATTTGATTTTATTACTTTCATTGATTTCGCAACACCCACCAGCCTTGCAGATTTAGTCATTTGTTTTTCGATTATATAACTAAGCCACAAATAACTTCGCTAAACCTTTAACATCTGGTTTCTATGTTGCTTCCTTCTTCCCTGTTTGAACAAATTGTGTAGCATGACTACACTTCCATGCTTTAAATTGTAACATACACTCTGTACATACAGAAGTAAATAAAGTGCATGTATGGAACTGATATAAAGGTCACTTACTAGGGATGGGTCTCAGCACATCGGGGATGAGGATCTCCACCAGCGTCTGGTAGAGCAGGTTGTCGCACTCTCTCGTCCAGCGCAGCACCGGTTCAAACTTACACAGCACCACCAGGCACGACTTGGGCAGACGTTTCTCAGACTCATTGTGTCTGGTGGAGCATGTCGGAAAGTCGTGACAGAGGAGACAGAGCAGTCGTCTTCACGTACAGCAGTGGAGGAGCTATACATGCATGTGCTATTATTTTGTTTGTCCCATTGTATGAGTGTGTGATACTTACAGGTTGAGCGATTCGGTGTCATTGCTCTGGCTGAACCTCCAGAAGGATTTCCACAATGTCTCCACAAGAGTGAACTGAAGGTTGACCATCACATCCATAACAGCCTGTGTGGGTCACAACCAACAACGCGGAGGTGAGTTAACTTTTGGTGACATGATTGCTTGACAGTGTTTCAGATCAAAATTAGTACATAGCATTTGGAATATTTTAGCATCTATGCACTAAACCGTATTTTCTCTTCAAAGCTGACATTAGATAGCTGTCTGCCATGAAATAAAACATAGCAAACGGAAAGGCAAGAGAAATAAAAATGGAAGGCTGAAATATTATGCTCAGTGTAAAGGACTTCTGCATATTTTCCATTTCATGCTTTTTTCAAACTCTAATTTCTAGACTTCACGGAAGGGTTTTTGAGATCAGACTTGACATCTGAGTACTAATAGCTACGCTTATAAAGTAAATACGTGGTTTTAACATCTACAATCATACATTTGGACTATGTATGCTATTATGTTGCCAACTTATTGCCACAAGATTGTAGCTTTAGGTTCAATGCACAGCTTTTTATTCAAACTGTAACTCATCTCAGTGGGAACCAGTACAACTTATCCTCATAATTTTTTCATAAACATATTAAATAAATACTGTATTATTGCACACCCAGATTTTTTTAGTCTCTCATAAAAAAGAAGTAAAAATGAGTTGAAAACACAGCAATAAATAGAGGTGGGAAGGTTAAATTTCTTACATAGAGTATCTGATAACTACATCACTGCATGTCCAGACAAGCCTAATATTTGGTTATTTGTAATTTTGTTTATATGTACACAATTCAAAAATATTGCAGAATTTTCTTTCAGAGTAATTTGGCTCCAGAATTGGTGCAGTTAAGAGAAACTTGGGGCAGAGTTGTTTTGAAGCTGTGACACAGATGCAGTCTAAATTCAGTCACATGCCATAAACATTTTCAAACACTTTGGCTACCTGCTCCAAATGCCAAAAAAAAGTCACTACTTGTATGACCAATTGTTTTGTTTTAGAAATTCTGATGTTATCTTATAAAACAGAATAGTGGCAATAGTTTGAAAACACAAACATTTTCCTTATACTCCTTTTTCTTTTTTCTGTACTTGTCCAGGCATGGAAATTACTGAAACCACATTCCATACTTTTCCATACAGCTTAGGGACGCTGTATATCCTGTGTCTGCCCACGGCTGCCTACCTCACAGTGTTCTCTGTACAGAGTCTGGAAGGCCTTGAGGTGTTCTAAAAGGATCCCATCAGGAAGGGTTCGATCTTGCAGATCAATGTCCACAAAGTCGGGCAGTGGCCTGGATGCCTCTGCACAATAAACAGCAGAGAGGAAACGGAGGAAACATGGTGATTTGTTCCACATGTCTGAACCAACCCTAATTAATAATAAAACCGAAGCCTGCTGTGTGCAGCTAAATGACAGCGACCAAATCTGCTTTGTTAGTTAATTATAAAGCCGATAACTGAATAATGAAACTAACATTCACACAGAAGTTTGTTAGTGTCAAGCTACTAATTATTACAACGTTACCAGCACAGAATCTAACCAACAGCAGGACATGAGCAGGACACATAGGTTATATGAAAGTATTCATTTCTTTAAAACAAAATCATATAGTAACAGACTATTTACTGAAAGAAGAGTGCAGGTGTTTCTCACCTAGGAACTGCTGATACTGTTGCACCTGGGCCGAAATATCACAGAGTCCTGCTCCCTGCTGTTGACCAAGCCCGCCTGCCGTCCCATTGGCGATCCCCTGGGCCTTCTGAACCGGCTTTAACCTGTTGGACAGAAAACACGTCATTCAGACAGACAGCGAGCAGGAACAGGAAAGATGGTTTATGTTGTAATCAAGAACGCTTAAAACAGGCTGCACTAACATTGTAAGCAATGCAGATCTTGTTGTTTGAATGGATCTTTTCCCAGACACAGGTTCACTTTTGGTACTATAATGTGTTTGATAGGTGGATCAACTGAGAGGTGTATTAATGCAACAGGAGCAGCATTTTAGGTGATGATATACAGTAATGTCGATTTATAAGATTATCCCCAGGCCAGTCTTGGCTAGCGAGATGAGAAATAGAATAACCCAATTTGAGCCTAATGGTGTGCAAATCTCATTTTTATTCAAATGTTTTTGTTGAACCTGAACATTTTTGCCTGGATGTGCACATTGGGTCTCCTATCTCATACAGCAACGTCTCTTAATATTGTATTTAGAAAATCTCAAATCTCAATACTGAAATGACAGATTTCACAAAACTGCAAGTCCATGTGTGGATACCTGTTTTTCTGTGAGAAAGGCTGCTGCCTCATCGCCATGTGTTGTTGTTCATCCATCAGTCTGAGCAGAGGGGAACCGGATTTGATCCTCAAACCATAGTAGTGGTACTTAGAGTTCCCTCTGAAAAACACAAAAGAAGAAGTTATGACGAGACCCTGAGATCCTGGATTGTGTGTGTGTGTGTCTGTGTATGTGCATGTATGTACCTGGTTCCTAATCTCCGTGTACGCAGCCCCATGAAGACCGACCTGATGAGTTTACCGAAGGATGCAGCATTAACTGGTTCTAGTTTCTGCTCCTGGCAGTGCAGCAGGTAGTGGTAGTAGAGGGTGCAGCGAGGTAAACTCACCCCCTCCGCCCCCTCGTAGTTGTCACACAGCCACTGCACCTAAGGGAGGATGGACGCCATGTAATTTAATTTTCTGCCGCTTAACGTCGCAGATTGTTTCACTTTGAACTTGTGTACTCACAGTAGCAGGTGGGGCCCGAGAGTTCGGGCTGGAGTAACTCTGTCCTCCACCTGCTGCTCCCGCTCCTCCCCCTCCTCCTCCTAAGACGTAGCCTCCCTGAATGACATACCCCCCACCACCCGCAGCAGCTGCCCCGCTATTGGCTCCTCCTGTTGCCACAGAAACTGGCTGTGAGGCTACAGATCCAGTGATGTCTGACTCAGAGCTGGGCGTGGCCTCGTAGAAGGTGGAGGAGGAGGTTGGCGGAGTTTGAGAGTAGAGGGGCGAATCGGAGAATGGGTAGTTGCTTGACCGACTAGAAATGAAAAGACAGACACAGATTAGAAGAGACACAGATACATAAAAAAAAATGCAGAATAAGTGCAGTCATGTGACCAGAAAAGTTGCAAGGTGTATGTCATTGATTGTGAGTGTAAATATGCAACTCGTACGACAGAGCTGGTTCCTCACTACTTACATGGTGGACGTGGTGAAAGTTGGGTCTCCTGCTCCGTCCACATACTGCACTTGGCCAGAATATACATGTTCCACCTGGGCATTAACCAAAGAGGAGATTTTAATCAGTGTTAATTGATTTTTTTGGCCACTTGGGGGCAGTTCAACAAGATGTACACACAATGTTGCCATATTATCATTTTTAAAAAGCTGTTAAGGCAAACTTGCTGTTTCAGTTGGCACAGAGAATTTCTGGCCATTTTTGATGGTTTAAAGTCCAATATTTACTTTGGTTTAGCTCAGTTTTTATCCTCATCAACTCCTTAGAAAAAATATCTGTCCAGCTGCTCCTCCGGGTTCACAGCCAGTTTGTTTGTGTGTCATTTGGTTTAAGGCAGAGAGTCTAGAGTGGGTTATTAGAGCTTATTTGGTGGAAAGAGCTGCTGGAAGCAACATGGAACATAGCAGTGAGAGCTGTGAAAACCCTAAAATGATCTGTAGAGGAGAGTCGTAGAGCTGAAAGATAACCTACTGTGGGTTAATCATGGCAAGTGGCCCCCTTTTGAATTATATTATTGCAAATTTGACATTATCCATTGCTAGTGTGAATTATAGAGGAGAGGAGCTTTAATAAGCAAATTGCAGGTTGCATTTTTTGCACAATTTATACTTAATATTTACAGGAAATTATTGTTTGAAAAGGCAATGCGCAATTTTATAGGTTGTATGTGAAGAAGAGACAAAAATTCAGATGAAAAAGCGTCCCTACAAAGCGTCACAATACATCACATAAGGCAGTCCTCTGCCATAGCGCACTGTGCAGTAGTAATAGGTAGTGAGTCTGAGTGATTTTAAAGACAGTTTTTTTGCTCATTACCTCGCATTTCACAGTTTTTAATCGTGGTAAATTACAGTGTTTGCACAAACTCCAGCCTGTCAGGGTACTGAGTACATACTTACACCTAATTACAGATCTGGCTTTAGTGCCTGGGTTTAGTGCGGGTGGAGACTTTTGGGACTTTTCATTTTCAAACAGGAGGATTATGTTCTCAGAGATACGATGGGGTTCTAGATGGGATGTTTACGTCAGGACTGTGCGAGACTGATAGCTGATGTAGTTTCTTCAATACACATGGCTGCAGCTTCTGGTACTGGCATCGGTGGGAGCAACAGCTGGAGATCTGTCAGAGATTCAACTCGACTAAAACGCTAACTGTAAGTCTTCTTTGATGTTTGCAAGCTTCTAAAAGACCTGTCGCCTCCCTCTCATCTCACATTGAAATGTTTTGCTGATTTATGTTGGACAAAGCAAATTATGACTCCTATCAGCTGATCCTTGCTCACTGGTTTCTGTTATGCAAAGTTTCTTATACTCTAGTACTAAACGGCCAGTCATAGTTGTGTAATAGCCTGATATGTGATAGTAAACTTTACAGCACTGTGATGTAACACAGTAGCTATCAAACGTCAGTCACTCAGAATGACACCTGCCCTGCTCTCCTACACCACAGATTAACTTCTCGCTGGAGGCCATTATTTTTCCCAAACCTGGTCTGTTTTTTAACTCTGTAAACCCTAACCCTGTGACACCCAGCAGGATCATAACTATAAAGCTGTAGTCTGTAATATATGTGTGAATATACATTTTTAAAACCTCACAGTGTCAAAACTACTGCCAGGAAGCATATTTCTTACTGTAAACATTTAACTTGCTTGGCTCCTCTCCCTTTTGTTTTATGAGGCAAGTATAAAACTTTGTTACACAACTATTGTCAATGTGATTGTTTTGCACATAGAGACATGTTTTTTTGTGTGCTTTTTTTTTTCAAAAAAAATCTGTTTTCTGCCCCATTTTCCTACTCATTAATTCTCTGGGGTTGCAAACCTGCAAGTTGCTTGTTAAGCTTAGTTTTTACCAGACATCTTGCTTGTGACAGCAAAGCTATGTAGGTGTGCTGCTGCAAAACCACGCGCTGTTCTGCGTAGCTAGGCATAAGAGGGTTTTTGTTTTGAGGAGCAGTCGAGCAGGCACAATTTCTGAAACCTGTTTGACAGCTCACTGTTATTGCTGATACACATAAATGAAGGTCAAATAGTTCACTTAGTTTAAAGATAGGTAGAAAAAACAACAACAAAGAATTAGCACGGTTGTAGTGTGTCTTTGTAGGTGCTTATAAGTGTTGCAGCATGACTGACAGGATGACGTAATGATGACGTATGACTTGTATATTCTCTTATATGATGAAATGAGATGTTTTGTTTATCTGTTTACCTCTTGGTTAATATGCACAGGCTGAAGGTTGTTGATGTGGCCTGTCTGGATCCTCTTGGCTGCCTGCAACACTGATCTCTGCTGGTTGATTAAAGCCACAGCGTCAGCTACAACCTCATCTGCACTTAACCCTACGTAATGGTTATAGGCTGTATATAAAAGATGGACATAGCCACTGGGATGGCACCCATTGGTTTGTGGACTATTGATCTAAAGCCTTGAATCCAGAAATTGGCTGCTTCCATATTGTTTTTTATTTGAAAGTGGATTTGACAAGCCTGGAGTGGATGTGACTGAGCACTAGAGGCTGATCTGCACATCCGTATGGTCGCGACTTGTCATTCAAAAGGTAGCCACGCCCTAAATCATATCATTTATTTTACACTGAATGGGACTATAATATACTAAATAAGCATCATGCTGTACTAAAGAAGACTTCAAAATAGCAACTGAGATTAAAAACTTGTTATAAAAATGTTTACTGAGGCAACAAATCAAGTGAGAAATAGGTTCATTTTCTCATTTACTTCTATACAATCAGCATCCGGACAAGTTGCCCCCTGCTGGCCATTAGAAGAATGCAGGTTTAACACACCTCTGCACTGGCTTTACTCTTCATACCTGGAGGCTACGCCCATTTTCTATACACAGTCTATGGTTATGGCCTGCTCCTACACAGTGATATGATGAATGCATGGGGTTTGTGTACATGTGTGCATCTTACCTGTGGTGTGGTCTGCACCGGTTGGACCACCTGAGTCGGGACTCCGGGGGCAGGAGGGCTGGAGTCTGACAGACTGTCACTGGAGTGAACGGAGCCCTCTGCGGATGACATATGAAGGATAAGAAAGAGATCATCAAACACATCTCAACTGAAAAGCCAGCCACCATCACTACAAGATAAGTACTCACGACACACTTCTTCCAAATCGTAATAACAGCCAGCGCAGAACATCTCGCAACTAAGTTTCTGTTTTTTGCTCTAGCGAGGAAGGACCGACAGTGAGGACGAGGAAGAAGAGTGTGTCTGTCCAACTCTCCTTTCTGTCCTTATATCTTCCATGCAGAAGGACAGCTTTGGACAGCTAATCTCCCCAGATGGAGAGAGAAATCCCACCATCTTGTAAACATGCAGATCGGATGAGAGCAGGGAAACGACAGATACATGAGGGCTGATAATTAGAGGGAGAAAATAAAGGATGGAGGGTGGGTGAAGCAGAGGGTAATATTCACCTTTTTGCAACCTTCAGGTGAGAAAACACTACTTTAACCACATGCCCTGCTCATTGTGCTGCACTTAGTTCAACCCAGGCTGGCCACTGTAAATATACCTGCAGTTAGGCTTAAGTCACAGCAAAACAAAATGTCGCAGCACAACCCCCCACTTGATTTAGTTTTGTATTATGATAAGTGATCCGTCTCTCCTCAGAGGTTTGTAAATTTTGGCTCTGATTATTGTTGACACTGACAAGTTAACATTCAAGCTGCCTAAAATCCCTCCCATAAGACTTTCTTGTGCAATGAATATTTAATACATGACTTATTAGTAGAGGCTAACTGGCATTTTCCTTTGGGCAGGCAGACGGTTAAATATCTAACTAGTCACTTCTGTTTGGCGGCTACTTTGATACATGAAGGTCATCAAACTTCAGGATCAGGAGAAAACAAAAAAAGCTTCGAAGGCGCCTGACCGAACTAAACAATGTCGCGAATCAGTGCAAGCCATTCTGGTGCTTCTATTTGTTTAGTTTAACTAGGTTTATACAATCCTGATCATTGAAGCTAGGACTCAACATAATACACCCAGCTTTACAAGTTGCACACATAACTCTCAATCATATGTTGCTGATAGCACAGGAAAAATGTTTTTAAAATAAATTTCTTCATGCAATGTCTTAAGTAGAGCAGAAACAACATAATCATTAAGTCCATATCGGATAAAACTACCAAACATATGCTGGTTACACTGGACATACAGGGTGTTTAATGTTAGCATTTTACAGCTGAGTGATTTACTGATTTCTAAATAAGATATGCCTCCTGTTCTAGTCTGCATTCTGCTAAAGAAACAGTATTTAAATCTTGTGTATGCAGGGTTTTTCCTGCATTAAAGAGTTTTTGGCATCTCCCAAAAAGATTTTAGTCAGCGCCAAAGGATAATCACTGATGCCAAAACAAGATAAAACCATTTTTAACCAGTCTTGTTGATTTGGGTTTCATTTACTCAAACAAAATAGACATTTTGTTTATTAGATGGCCAGAAATCACAGAAAAATGCATCTATTTCTATCAAATATGGCAACACGGGCTCATTGTCTTTACTGTACATGGACCTATCTTGCCTACTGTCATGCATAGTCACCCCTCAAAGGGCTATACTGAGCCAGGACAAACCGTAGTATAGTACAACTTAACAATATTCATTCTAGCCTGCTAATAAAAATGCACAACAGAAGTAAAGGAAAGCTAATCTCATTTCATGAATCAGGATTAATCATTTAATGGCATAACAGTGCTTTTTAAAATCAAGCTTTCTTTCTTTCTTTCAAAAAAAAAAAGAAAAAAAAAAGCAGTCCATACTGTAGATACTGTACGAAAGAATGCCAAACTTTAATAAGCTCAGTTATTTAGGGCACTTGGTCGTCCTGCTCCATGAGGAGGAGGAGACGAGCCCCGGAACTGAGTCTCTCCCTCTGGGTGAGAGTGCACAGTGTTACCTGATACCAGCAGGCAAAAAGATCTACGAATAGACGGCCCTAAAATAAACATATAGACAGGGACCGGCGTTGAGGGTCAATTCTCTCCTATTTCCTTTTGGTAACACCATATTTTAAAATACTAACTCATTTATTTATGTCTGAGCATTTGGCTAAATTAATCTGATATTACTTCATATCTGGAAACGGTTCAAGGCCTTGTAAACACATGTTACATTAGATATCATTCTGGCTTATTTTATTTGCTGTACCACTACAGGAATTGCTAGTTTAAGCCATGCTGACGTAATATGACTAAAAACATCACTATGTCACAATCTCCTTTTAACAGTACCAGCAGGAAAAGTGAAGTCAGACTCCATCAACCATTCATGCTCCCACATTTGGGACTTGCAGCTTAGCAACCAAGTTCATCAACTTGGTATGTCCACATGATTTATGCAACAAACCAACCAAGCAGCCAGCCACACAAACCACATTACTGTGATTATGATGGTTTTTGATGGGAGTTAGATCTGGTCTTTATCCTCACTATTTAAACAGGGACTATTTCAGAGGAAGGTGGCACCCCGGTAACCTGGGATGTGAGGACCAGGACCAATCATCACTCAACTAACTAATGGCGATCATTATTAATACTTTTTGATTGCAGTCAAATAATTCATTAAAAATGACTTTGGAAATCACATCTGAGCTTAACAAATCTTCAGGGTAATGAAGTCAAAGGGGAAACAGCTTTTGGAAAACAAGCTTGTCATGGATAGTGAAAATGCCCATTTAGGATTCCCATAACCCAACATGATGCCAAAGATATTCAGTTTGCAATGATATCAATTGGGAAGCAGAGATCTTCACATTTCAGAGCCTTAAACCAGCAAATATTTTTTTTTTCTTGTGAAAAGACACAGTTACTCTATTGTTAAAGTTGCTGATTTATTTTCAGACTATCAATTATTTGTTCAAGCACTATTTGATACCACTTTTTATAGCAGGTAGTCAAAAACAGAAAACTGGTGGACCATGAAACTAAGAGCAATAATTTGTGGCTATTATCAAGAAATTGAGACAAACGTTTATACTCAACTCTCCCCTGCACTTCTTAGGAACTAGAATTGCTCACTTTGTACTGGACAACCTGTCATTCTCCAACCAGGATCCAGCTGACAGGATGAGAACAGACTTGCAGGACATACTGAAGCTTGCTCAGACTACATGCTATGTCATGTTCTCCTGCTGCCAATGTCAGTTGGAAAGCATGTAATATGCATGTGTGTGCACAGTACATGTTAAGGAGGTATGTGTCAATCAGTCCTCAGCCTCTCACCTGTAACAGTCACTATGATGTACTGAGGCGAGCTGCTCTGACCATTGCTCTTCTGGACTGCAGAATGCTGTATATCGGGGGTTACGTAGTGCTGCGTGGGAGTCGTCAGAACCACTGCCTTGTGGCTCTGGGCCTGGGTGGGCGGTGCTTGAGAACAAAGTGCATCCTGTCCCGTTTTCGAGGCAGTGGTTGATTGGTTAGGGGACGAGATGGTTCCAGAGGTTGGTGGGATCTCGGACAGGAAGTGTGCGGTCTTCGCGGACGAGGGTGTGGTGGCAGCAGGTGTTGCTATGGTTACTGTGTTGGCCTGCTGAGGCTGAAGGTCCTCCGAGTATCCAGAAGTTGCCATGGCAACCAATGATTTGAGGCACTAGTTCTGTGGATAAAAAAAGGGATGACATGCATTAATGAAAGTGCCACGGACACACAAAGAAACACACTTTGTTGCCTTATTATCTAGCTTATCTGTGTTTTTGGCCACGCATATCTGGTATGTGTCCTCACGTGTGTTTGTGTGTGTGTGGAACATAAACCAGAGGAGGAAGTAAGGCTTTTGTCTGAGACTAAGCAGTAGTCTAGAGCCTTTCCTGTTTGGCTCTGTATGAAACAAAGTGTGCTCTTAAGCATAACAAATGGTGGTATTCGTTACATTTACAAAACAATATTCATTGCCCGTGACAATCACATCTCAAGTAAATTAAAGCACAAAAAACTAAAATTAGGAAAATCGTGGACAGGCCCAGACTGTACAATCTGGAAATAAACTGTAATCAGTGGAGCCACTGTCTGTCAGGACTTTAGGCCAACCTACTGGACGATAAGCCACTCCTGTGTAAACCAACGCGGCACTCAAGACAAGCAGATGATCATCCGGCACACCGTGCTCACGGGAGTGACTTGCCGGATTCAATGTCAGACCAAAAACTTTTTCAAAGTCACAAAAAGATTATGAAATGCGCTGCACTCGTATCTCAACCTTTAAGGCTCATAAACGCGTTAGTTGGGCGAGTTTCGTGCGCGTTTCTGCGCGTAATGTATAAGAACAGCTTGCTTGAAAAGTGAGTTGAGAACGGGGAAAGTGATAGCTTCCCCTGCTAGCAGCTCACGTCGAGTTGTGTGACGTTAAAGCGAGCGAGCCAGCCGCTAGCTCCTCATGTTGCATACTCATTAAATCTACGAGCACGCCACCAATCGCGCCTCGCTGTACTTTCGTGCTTATCGGAACCGCAAGAAACAAACCCGAAACATGGTGACAAACGAGCTTTAAAAAAGTACGATTGGCACTACAACACACCCGCCATCTTGTGCTCTTATCAAAGATCTGACATCGCCATAACAACGGTCTGCGTTTGGAAAGAAGCTAGCAACCACTTTCATCACCGATACGCTCGAGCAATTCCACGTTAACGCTGTCGATAGTGCGAACCGCCACACGTATATAATTTACAGAAAATTACACGACAATTCTGACATATTTTACTTTTTTCACCTTTGTTATCCCAGTATTGTCCTTTTTAGTCGTTAAAGTTTTTTTCCCCTTAGATTTAGGTTGTTGTTGTTGACTCCCGTTGCTTGGTTCTTGTCGCCAGGACTACCGTGACTATGGCGCCTAGCCTTCACCGGGGCAACTGTTGCTACCCTCTGGTTATAGCCCCGCCTTATACTGAACGCTAATTGGTCGAGGAAGGAGGTGGTCGCAGCGTCAGTGAAAGAACCGATCGCTGATTGGCTGACTGTACCTGTCTGTCACTTTCGCCAGAGTCCAACGTCAAGTGACCACTTGTGATGTTACTTTTTTGATTGCACAGAATGTCAAACAGATGAGAAGAGATGAATGTCACTGGATTCATTCCACATAAAATGTTGCTGCTGCTTATCTCAGCTTCCTCCCATTCGGATAATTAATATTGTGCAACATTCAGAACTTCACAATTGATTTGTTAATGCACTGAACTCTCTCTGTTGTGTATTGTGTGTGTATGTGGAGTGAATGGATAGTGATCTCCATCCAATGCTCGGCAAATCAGATAGGAAGACAGAGATTGTGGTGGTGACACATGGCACAAACAAAATGATGTAAGAGACAGAAAGGCCAACAAAAGGTCACAGGTGATTAGATTTGCCAAGAGCTCTGTTGAAATCACCACTGGCATCATTCACAACTTTTCTTTTTCATGTGCATTGTTATCCCTAAAGGTCTCCGGTCTTATCTGGGGACATGATGAATGTGGAGGTGAGCTGAGGTCCTTCTTTGAGATGCTAACGCCTATATAAGGTGGAGGGGTCGACCAAAAAGAAACACAAACTACAGAGAAGCGTTGAAAGATTTCCAGCCTTTGAGACACCTGTGGCATCTTTTCAGCCTCATTATGTGGAAGGCAGCGATCTTGACCCTGGGCTTGTTGGTGGCGCTGGTAGACAGAGTCCGGCCTAATGATGTTCATCCCTCTTTCTATGGGGTGAAACTGTGTGGAAGGGAGTTCATACGAGCTGTCATCTTCACCTGCGGTGGTTCTCGGTGGCGGAGAAGCGTAGAAGATTCGGGTAAGACAACATTTGTGTGAATATAGATACAATACAAGTTTATTGATGAGGATTTACCATGTTTTCCTAGCGTCAAATTGTCACATTCTCTTCCATTTTCCCAGCTCTTATTGGAGAAGAGACATTTGACCTGTGGAAGACAAATCCCATCCCTCAGCTTACCAGCGAGCAGGATCCTGCAGAGCCCCAAGCATGGAGAGATCAAACAATGGACGTGGCATCTATGGCTGCTGGTTTCGGCCGCTCAGCTCGCTTGCCAGTCTCGGAGGAAGTGTTGGAGGCTCTGCGGAGTGCAGACAGGAAAGGGAGGGATGTGGTGGTCGGACTGTCCAACGCCTGCTGCAAGTGGGGCTGTAGCAAGAGTGAAATCAGCTCTCTGTGCTGAGCCTGGCTTCTTCACCTTGTCACCTCACTATTTGAGAGCTTTACTATTTTCTCTTGTAAATTCTTAAAATTCCACTTTCATCCAACAACCTGTCCATGTGCTGACTATTAATACTTGAATGTGAATATGTACTCCAAATTTCCTCGCTGTGATTAGCACAGATTGATATATTTGTGTAATAAAGCTTGGTGTAGTTGGTGTTTTAGGTGTGGCTCCTTTGAAAATACATACTAACATTATATTTCATAATGTTCGAACACTTCCACTTTTCCAAAACCTTGTTTCATAAACAGAGTTTGTCAAACATTGCAAAATGAAGGAAGTTGTGGTGACTCATAGTGCACAGGGTGGCGAGAGTTTTGTTGAATCATAGTTACTTTCTGTAATTCTACAGAAAGCAAGAAAGCAAGTGCATTTATGTGGTACCTAATCACACAGAGGCTTTTCAAAGTGCTTTACAGGCAAAGGTTCAAATTAAAATGTATACCATACAGAAGGCTAACAGTAAATTAATGAAATAATTCAAAAACAGTACAAAAGTGCACGCTGATTTAATAGAAAACTGATTGAAATTATAACACTGGAAATGACAAATGACTAAAAAAAAATTAAAACATGTACATTATCAGATTTAAAAAACGCTGCATTTGCATCATAAATAAATACTGTTTCTCGTGTCTGGTCTGAAATCTGGGCACCACAAACTGACCAGTTGGTGCAAATCTGAGAAACCAACCAGGCTTATACTCAGCAAACATTTCTCAGATATATTTTGGGCCTAGAGACCAATAGAGATTAGGTAGGGCCCTAAATTAAATTCTATATTTAACTGGAAGCCAGTGCAGGGATGTAAGAATCGGAGGAATGTGTTCTCTTCTTGGTGTTTCTAGTGGCAGCATTTCCCCTATAGAGGGACAAAACACGACAGGTGTATGATGCAGAGTCATTCAGTGCAACCACATGTGAGGCTTATGAAAGTGGAGCATGGTTGTTTGTTCTAAGGTGATAATGACATTTGGCTCCTCTTACACCCCAACCGGAATCCCCAGTCATTATGCTGAGTTTAAAAACTGAACCTTTGCATGAATAGTTGATGTACTATTAGTCCTTATTAGTGTCCATGTTATTGTGTCCACGCCCTGTACCACCTCATACTAACCATTTAGACTAGTTGGATGTTGCAGGTATTGAAGCTGGCACCATCTGGTGGCTCTAAATTAAACGCAACACAAAACAATGCAGTGATAACATAACACCTGAATTAAAAGTACGCAATGTGTTTATATTAGCTAAATCACAATTACGTCAACAGTGTAAACTTGCAATATTGTTTAAAGATTGTTAAATACTAGTTCCATTAAAGTTTTTTGTTTTTTTCTTTTACGTCTCTTCATGTTACCTCGCCCAGTAGTTTGTCCGGTACGGAAGCCGAACGTGATCAAACTGATCACCCGGCTTGATTGCAAGGCATGCAATCTCTGTCACATACCAGCTAGCATAGCAACCGCACAGATCTACTGAGATCAGAAGTTTGTACTTAGCTACGCGGATCGCAGTCATATTTTATTTAATGTTAGTTGTTACGGCGTAACTGCACTGTTGTCTATAGAAATATAGATCTACCACATCGGAGCGAGCAGGTAAAAACCTTTCGCGCTACTTTCAAGATGATGCTAGCTAGCCGTGCTACTGGTAGCTGCCGGGGGGGTTGATATGCGACCACCCTGTTCTGCATATTAATTGGATTCATTAGCGCCGTCTTTGTTGCTTTAGGGACAAACGCAGCTTTGGCAGCAACGTGGTGCCCGGATAGTTGACGGGAGATAGCGTTTTTGTAATCTGTGAATCGTGTGAGGTATGATAGCGACGCTAAGCTAGCTTGCTAACCGAATGAGCCAGACGTTTGCGCCTGTGTCGTCTGGGCCTCATGTACAACGGCTCTTCGGGTCGCAGCTGATAGTTGGTGTGTCTGTGTGTTCATACACATGTTAATTAGTGCAAGAACACCGGTGGTACTTGTGGGATTACCGTGTAGAACACAGAAAATGTTCATAAACACTCGTGCTATCACGGCACTGTTTTGCTAACTGTACTCATATAACGAACGCGATGTTTTTGACAAGTGAAGATTCAAAAATTAGCTTTGGGGTCAACAGTTTTTCACAAGTTGTTGCTCTTAGTAAGACAACATACTGGTTGTTCTGTGATCCTTAGCTTGCTGCGTGCTTTGAGTTGTAATGTACACAGATCTGAGGTTACAGGTGTGGCTGTGAGCACCAAACTGTGTAGTACCTCCTTCCTAAACAGGTAATGTGTGTGTTGTTGTTTTGTAGGATGGAGTGGCAGCCAGATGAACAGGGTCTGCAGCAAGTGCTTCAGCTTCTCAAGGATTCCCAGTCCCCAGACACAGCAACACAGAGAGCTGTGCAAGAAGTATCCTTACATCTGGTTGTGTTTGACAGTGAGGGTGAGAGGAAAAGGTGTGAGATATTGCCTCCCCCGTGAAAGTGGCTGACGGTGAAAACTGACTGTGTTTGCTGTAGTGATCGACAGTGCATGAATCGCTGCCACCTGAGAGATAAACATGGTATGTGAGGGTGTGTATGGATGGTAGAACTCCTTAACAGATTATGCAGAAACTGGAGCAGCTGAACCAGTTTCCAGATTTCAACAACTATCTCATCTTTGTCCTCACGAGTCTTAAATCTGAGGGTATGTATGGGCATGTCATAACCACGAACATACCACTCACAGAACAAGACTGTTTCTGTATTGAATAGTGTTTCTAACTTTCCTTGTTCCCTGCAAACATTTTTAACATTTCTTTTTGTGCTGCCTCTCCGCTGCTTTCCTTCTCAAGACGAGCCCACTCGGTCTCTGAGCGGTCTGATCCTGAAGAACAATGTAAAAGCTCACTACCAGAACTTCCCTCCCAACGTGGCTGACTTCATCAAACGAGAATGCCTCAACAACATCGGAGACCCTTCGCCGCTTATCAGAGCCACGATCGGTGGGTGTTTTGAGTGAGAGAGGGAAGATGGAGAAAGGAAAGGCTGGAGTTAAATGCATTTTTCTAGCCAGTGTGAGTCAGAGTGTTATGTAGGTGGCTGGATTTTTGCAGGTAATGTGGCTGTGTGGGAGCGAGCGCTGCATTTTCAAGATGTTTTAAATGATCGAATGCGCTGACGAGTTAAGTCATTAGTTATCCCTGACTTTTAAAGCTTGTGTATTTGTGTTTAACTCTTTTTTTTTTTTTATCACCATCAAAGGCATTCTGATCACGACCATCGCCTCCAAAGGAGAGCTGCAGACCTGGCCGGAGCTGTTGCCTCAGCTCTGTAATTTGCTCAACTCGGAGGACTATAACACCTGCGAGGTTAGGCCTGCACACACAGACACACACACACACAGCTTTTGAAATGTTGATGTGATCATAAAACTTGCTTTCTTTTGTCTTTTGACTCTCTTTGCTCTCTGATTTTTCTCTCTCCTCAGGGTTCTTTTGGAGCACTACAGAAGATTTGCGAGGATTCATCAGAGCTGTTGGATAGTGATGCACTGAACAGACCTCTCAACATCATGATCCCCAAATTCCTCCAATTTTTCAAACACTGCAGCCCCAAGATCAGGTCACTAAAACACTAGTGTTTTGCTGTTTGAGTCTGAATACATCTCTTCTTCTCAGCCATAACTATTAGAATCTCCTTGTTAAAATGATTCATTGTGTGTTTTGTTTTCAGGTCCCATGCTATAGCGTGTGTGAACCAGTTTATCATTGGCCGAGCTCAGGCTCTGATGGATAATATTGATACCTTCATTGAGGTGAGCAACTCAACATTTTGTCTTCAGACGTCTCAGAATTTCTGGTCATCATGTTAAAGCAAAAGCAGGAGTCAGTTTTTTGGTGTAGTTTTTTTCGTGTGGGATTTAATGACATAGAAGGAAAGCAGTCGTACAGGTTTGACGTAAGAGATTTTTTTTTACAATAGAACTGCTCTGTGGAAATTTATTCTTGCATCAGACATCATTCGGCAAAAAAAAAAAAAAATGTTTTTCATAGATTTGCTCAGCTTTGGACCTTGAGTTAAGATTTTTTTTGTTAAAGAAAGATAATGCACTTACAGAAGTCTCCTTCAGAGTCAGTTATGCTGCTTGGAAAGGTCTCCTTGAACAAGTCGTTTCTCTAGATTGGATTGCACATCATACACAAAGCATCATACATGTTGCCATCATAACCGCAGTGATTCACACTCGTAGGAAATGTTACTACATTCAAGTTGGGCAGATTGCCAAAGCATGAAAAATGATCCAACAGGACTGCACACAGTGTTTCATCGTGGAAATGGAGAGCAACTCCGCTAACCTCAGAAAAACACAATTACATTTTTACAAAATATGCTAAAAGCTTCAGGGAAGGCAGCTAAAGGGCCGCTTTTTAATCACTGAGGTCACATCAGTGTGTGATTAATTGATCCCTCGCATCATACATTCGCTCCACAGTAATTAATCAGAGCAGCCTGTCGCAGTGTTGGTGGAGAAAGAGTACAGAAAAGTCAGCTCGTGCCCAGTCAGTCATGACTCACCACTGCACTGCAGGTCAGACACCAAGCTGAAGTCAGTTTGATAATCATCAGTTGGACACACATTTTAACCCTGTGGAGTCTGCGTGTAGTGAAGGTCAGCTCAGGGCTGATGCTGGTTTGTATCGATCGACTGTAGTAGTAAAATCAATGCTTGTGATCACACTGCGAGGTTGGGAAAGGTTCAGCAGTGCTTAACCAGCTCTGCTAACCAGTTTCTCGTGGGAAACCTTTCAATTCCTTTCAAACACAAAGTCAAAATGTAAAATGTGGCAAAGTGTCATGGAAGTAATTGCGAGTTTGGAAGCTATTAACCTCTTCCAGCCCTATTTCTTATCTTTTGTCATGTTTGCTCATCCTGCCTGTCCGTGCCTTGTTTCTCACATCCATTCTCTTCTGTTCTCTCTTCTATCCAGAGTCTGTTTGCACTGGCTGGTGACGAGGACAGCGAAGTGCGGAAGAATGTTTGCAGGGCTCTTGTCATGCTGCTGGAAGTCCGCATCGATCGCCTCATCCCACACATGCACAGCATCATACAGGTGAGGGTGTGACCTAATCTCACACACCACTCTATTGTTGTTTGGCTTTCTATTTGACCAAACACCTGTTTTTTTGTCCCCT